GCAACGGGACTGAAAAAAGATGCTTCAAACAAAGCAGTTATGTTTTGTTTCTTTCAGTGGAAGCTTGTTTGTGTTAATAACTGTCAGGTAATTCTGTCCCTCTGATAATTCGAAGGCTTCCCGCATATCCCTACCTTGCATGCTTCTCATGACTCACTGACGAGATGCCATTCAACCTCTCCCCTGAATTTTGATTCGATTGGTTTATTTAATTTTCTAGTAAATGCTGAAAATGTATTCCTGAGCACCTCCTTCAAATCAAACCACACAGAGGAGTCATGAGGTGGGTGGAAATGAATAGCTCTGTTTCAGCTTTACTTCAGGTCACCAATAACACCACAACCCCAGACTCAGTCACCTTCAAAAAGTACTGTGCAAGTGTTATAAAAAAACAGAACAACTCCAAAACTGAACATGAAGCGACTGCAGGGAAAAGTGGACAGCGGTACAGAGAGACAATAAATGTTTTATGAATATTCCTTCATACAACTTTTAAGCAGTTTTTCTCTCAAGTCAGGAATTCTTTATTGGAGGTTCGCCAGTGCTATAAATGAACTCCAACTAAAAATAATCCAGCAACACGGGAAATTAGGGATGTCCTGATCCAATCCCAAACTATTTTTAATTGATAGTTATCAGAGTTCCTGACTAAATTAAACTTCTGATGCTTACTGTTTGTAATTTAACCTTGGCTAACCAGAGTTAGTCAGCATGTAATACAACAAATCACAGCTTGTTTTGTGTGAACAGTTTCTGAAACAGTAGTTTAAATGATGGACGATTAATTTGTCTTCACCTAACAAAGCATGTTTTCCTTAAAAATGTAAGCATTACACAGCCATTTTCAAGATGTGTAAGTATAAACATGCGAGCCAAACGCCTTTCTCTGTAGACGAGTCATTTTCTGTTAAACTCTGAATATGTCGATCCAGAACTGTAATTTTCCTTTCAGGGGGTTATTCTTATGTGGATTTGGATGTTTGCTTAGAGTAACTGTGATGGTAAAAACTAAAATCAATCTTTATCTTCGGCTTTCTAGCATACACATCCAGGTTTGGGTTAAAATGCCTCTGGTGCAAAATAAAGATGTTTGGAACCTCCTCACGCACATGATCTGTAAGACTGAAGCCAGGACTGGTTGTTGTCTTTGGAAGAAAATGCTTCTCAGAAACTCACTGTTTGGCCAAAACATAAAAAGAATACAGGGGACTGTTGCCACATGCAGAACATAATGAGTCCTTTTTGGAAATCGGTGTAGTTCTTTCAGCATTTCTGTCCTTTCAGACCAGATTCATGTAATTTCAATATGTTTTTACACTTGTTTCCTTTTATTTTCTCCAGACACTGATCACTCTAACTGTGCTATTATTTAGAATTTTTTTCTGTGAACATTTTATATTCTCTTCTTCTGGCTGTTTTCTGAACTGGGGATTTAACTAAGTGATGTAAATGTGTAGAAGTTTGAAAAATCCAACTGGGATAGTTAAATTTTATTTCAAGTAAATCGCATTCGACAAAATTTATGGTAGAACTATACCCAAGATCTACTATGGGTTTAGTACGCAAAGGTGTGCAGTGATTTGCAGATGTAAAAAGTCTTTGTTATGTCTCGGACATGTCGGATTGGGGATTTTTATTCTCAAGAACCACAACTACAACATCCCTTACCTCACTCACAATTAAAGCCTTGGAAGTTTTTTTTTTTTTTATTTCAACTTTACCCCCTCTGTCTGTATGAGAAGAGCAGAGCAAGACAATGAGAAAACAAGAGAAGAAACATTTTTGAATACAAATATATCTGTTTTTTTGTTTGTGAAACAGAGCCAGACAAACCTCTGAAAGTCGCTCACTTGGAGTCGTCGTCTTCGCTGATTTTGCTTAAATGTTTGCAGCAACAACTATTATTATGACGACATGCTCTTTGAAAATGTATCTCTTTCGTCTCATCTCCCTCAAAGTTATGGTTTTGTCTCAGTCTTGCTCATGGTCTTGATATTTATTAACAGAGTTATTGCAGCTTCTTTCTTCAGATTTATTTTTGAAAAAAAAATGCTTATTGGACAAAAAACAACAACTGAACCAGCTGGGTTACTTTAAAAAGATTATTTTCACCAGTTGGGATTTTAGACTGACCTTGACCTCATTGTATAATAACCAGGATCAAATTGAATCGAATTTGAATCTATGTGATTGATTTGTGATCGTTTGAGCTGATCACACATTTCTGTATTTTAGTAGAAATTGTCTTGTAAAGTTTGAGATGACAGTGAATTGGACCTGCATACAATAATGCACTCCACTCAGGTTTCTCAAATATCAAAAGGGGGAAATTAGTGCATTAAGCCTGCTGAGCGGGTGCCAGAAATATGCACAAAATTGATGAGGTGTCACTTTCAGTAAGAGTCACACAATTGCACCGACAAGAGCCTCTCTGATCCCTCCCCTCCTGCCTGTCTGCCACCACCGAGGCACAAACACTGAGATCTGCGTGGTCTGCACAAAAAAGAAATGTCCTTGGTTTTAGGAAAGGTTACCTCGCTCTCCTCGGCCTTGGCAAACATTATTGGCATGCATAACGAGACACCAAGAAAGCCGCCTATTTCGGTCATTTTTACTGCGTTCCCTCGTCAGCAGGCCAAACGAACAATCTGCAGCCCAGCCACCAAAACAGAGAGATGATTTTATTTGGTAACAGACGACAGCCCATGCTAACAACTGTGGCCGACAGCCTTCCCCAGCAAATGCTTAGACTTACATTTTGAGATCAATTTCAAAACCGTGTTAATTAATTTAGACTGCTGGCAGCACAATGCAGGTCAAACAGGGCAAACAAGTTACAACATCAGCCAATTAGAAACACACAAGCGTTTTACATTTTCTTCATAACTAGGGCAGGTCTAGTGTGAGCCCAGACATGACAGATGGAAACTTACAGAGGATGGAGACCGCGAGTGATGTAAATTATACAGAGCTAGGCAAACTCCCTTCTGTGGTAATGAGGACTCTAATTTTGTTTTCTTTACAACAGAAAAGTTCATATTTTAAATTATTTTGTAAATATAAGGACAACAGAAAATCAATGTGGAACAAATACTTACTCACTGTAACTGACAGACCATCTTTTTGAATATCCTGTTTCACAACACAACCCTATCTGGTGCCTTATTATCTGGTTGTTTTTCAGTCAATTAACTTTCATCACCACAGATGACTGTATTTATATGGCTGCAATTTGTTAATCCCCAAAGCACGGATGGTTGATTTTTGCGCATCGGCCTTAAGATTTGTCATCGAGTGTATTTAGGTCTAATTACTACCAGTTTTTCTCTGAAAAGAAGAACAAGATTTTCATCCATCAATAGTGAAAATGAAAGCAATAAATTCATCAACCTATCCCCCGAGAAGGAGAGCAGGCTGACAAATGAGTGCTGAGGCAAATGAAGCAACACAAGTCCCTGTTTGGGAATTACAGTATAACATGTTTAAGACTTATGTCAACTTTCTTCTAGAATCCAAGAGCATAATTCATCATAAAAACTGTTAGAAACTATTCCCTATGTCTTAACATATTTTGCTTTGTATGCCAAGCATTCACAGCACTGTTAAAAAGGCAATTTCTTGTGATGTAGCGAAAAATAAGGCTAAGCTAAATCCTTTCTAAACCTTTTTGCACATGTGACATTTATCTTTTAACTGAAAAATGAACAAATCTGTTAGAATGAAAAAGAGGTTGCATAAAAGTGCCCACATTTGAACTAATACTCTATTAAAGTATCTTTGATTTAATTTCGTCATTCATTCTTACTTGTTAGGAGTGAAATCAGCATGTCATATTTTTACTTGAAAGTCTCCGATAGTAAGGATATATTTTGTCCAAAATCTTCCGCTGATCCTGCAGATTAAGTTCTAGACACAATTTTTATTAACACCAGTTTATATTGTCAGTTTAATTCCTGATCACATAGACACACAAGACGTTTTGAAATTATATAACCTTTTTTAAAATGACAAATATGACAATCTAAAAAATATGACTTTCAGCTCAGCTCAGCTGATTCCAGCTTATTTTCTATAATAACAAATATTATCCACTTTCTTACACAGAACAGTTTTGAATTTAAAAAGAAATAAAGGTATTTGAAGAGTACCCTCATTTATGAATAAAAGCATTTGTGCCTAATCTTGCTTCAAAAAGCATAAAAGTGCATGATGTTAGTTATGCACTTTTACAGTTCCTAGATTGTAAATGATTGTTAACTTGTTCGAATCTTAATTAATCAAGTAATGTTTGTGGATGTGCATTTTTTTTACAAGACACAAATTTCTCGGTGTAAAATGCTGAATTGTTTTTTGTTTTTCTCTTCAAGCTGAATAAAATTAGTTTGAACTGTCTTAAGTTAATTAACTTTCACCTGACAAAAGATAAACATTTTGATCAATATTTTATACCAAATGGTGCTTCCTTAAAGAACAAGATCCTGAAGAGTGAATTATAAAATCAAAATGCAAGTGTCTGACAAATATCTGGATATAAGCAAAGTATAAAGGAAATGTTTAGTATGTTTTTGCATTTTCTTACATTCTACCTCATATTTATAAGTGAAACTAATCACACTCTTGCAATGGATTTTTTTTTTTAAGTTGTGATTTAATATAAAAACAATTTTTAACGTTACTTGTTTGTCAAAGTAATTAATTGGTTTCTTAAGATCAATTATATAAAGTCAACTTTAAAATAAAAATACTAAAAACAGCAACCCATAAACAGAATAAAATCACAGACTCACTCGTCCCGGACCTTCACATGAAGCTGATGTGACCAGCTTGTCTCCACTGTTTAAAGCCACTACAATAGATTGTGACTTTGTTCTGAAGAGAGTTCACATGACTTACAAATCTGTTTAAAAATGGCCTCTGAGAGCAGCGTGTCTGCTGGAAGGATATCTCTGCGCAGAGATGGATTTAGTGGAAGCAGGACTGATAAGCAGCGGCGTCCTTACCTCATTAGTGTTCCACCGGTGCCTCTCCTTCGGCAGCGACGTGCATTTTGGTAGACATTCAAGCAGCTTCTTGGGCAGGTATATTTTCAAATGTCCATGTTCATCTGCGACGAGAGAGAAACAGAAAAGAATATTAAGCAAGGGCTTCATATCTTATTGACTCTCTTGTCTTCCCTCTTTATCAGTCTATCAGTCTCTCGGCTTTAAAACGCTGACTATAAAATAACTATCCCCAGCTGAATTAGGAAATTAATTTAAGAACGGCATAATGCATGCATTTTAGTTTGTGGTCGGCTAAATTATTTTACTGTGTAATGCAATCTGTCAGGGGAGTTTACCAGGAATTTTTCACTGTCAACTTGGAAAGGCTGTGTCTATTCATTATTTAGACACAATAAACACCCTTGAGTGATTTTATGGTGTATGGAGAGTTAGTATTGGAGGCTGTGCGCTGCCCTAAAGAATGTGGGGTATTATTCAAGGAAATAAATGCAATTACCAGGGCAATTGTTTCAATCATAATGTGTGTATTTCAAGCTACAATTTATAAGACTTATCAAACTAAAATATACAGACAAACCTTTGACATAAATAAATCAAGTGTATATTTCTTATTGCTCTCTTTTTGTAAAATATGCCAAATATCTTATAGTAATATTGAATAAATTTGAAAATGATTAAAGTTTATTTCAGTAATTTTGTTCACCATTTATAGAGATCAATTCCACAAACTGATGCTTTCAAACCATTCTGTTAAAAATGATCATTTTCTGCTTATTGGTAATGAAAACATAATATTTAAGATTAAAATAATCCTTATTGATGTTTTGTTTGTGATGTAGCAAACTTAAAATGTATTTTTGAATGTTATGGTTCCCAGATAATATGCTGTAGTTTGCAAAAGTATTTATACCCCTTGATTTGTTTTGTATGTTATATATTTTGTTATATTATTGATATGCAAGATCAATCCTCTGTACTGCATAATTGTGAAGTGGAAAGATACAGGATGCATGGTTTTTCGATATTTCTTTTTACCAACTAATACCTACAAAGAGTCTCCATCTAAATGAGTCAATACTTTGTATAGTAAACATTTGCAACAATAGTTCTAGGTCAATCAAACTGAATGTAAAGTATTAATGACCAGCAATTCTCAAAACTTTCCATAGATTCATAGCTGTAGCAGTATTTAAGCTCCAGACTCGTTTCACAATAATGACGATCTTACTAGCTTGCTTTGGTTTTGAGCTTATGCGCAGATTCGACCCAAAACATATTTATCTTTGCCATATAAAACATGTCTCCTTTCTTTACAGTCTCTTCCAAATAATTGAACTGTACAGACATCTGAAAATTGTAATTAAAACTCAAAACTTGCCTGAGAGATTTTAAACTTTTCCATTTTGTTACTGTGACAGAGGAACCGTCACAAGCCGGGACTTAGTTATGAGTCCGTGTCAGCATGGGAGCACGCCCAAGTTTCTTACAAGCATAGTCAATGTGGCTCTATGTCATGTTGTAGGTGTGCATTTGGACCCAAATGCAGTGAGGCATAGGTAGCTTGGAGATGAAGGATTTTTAACAAAAATTATGAACAAAAGAAAACTTACAAAAATCATGGAACCAGAGCAGAACAAAAGCTATAAATCCAAGAAAAAAACCAAACAACAGGCAACAAACAGAGAAAATAACAATGTATAACAGGATTAGAGAAAAGAAACTAGGCAGCAGAATGAGAAGGAGAAGGTTTAAATACTGTGAGGGTGACTGCTGGAACAAAAGACCCTGGCTGATTAGCTAACAGGCCACACATGTGACAAGAAAGAGAGAAAAAAATGACACAGTGGGCGAGAAAGAGTAAACAAATGACAAGGAAATGAACACTAAAGTATAACTAGACCAAAGAAACAATTAAACTAGAGTAACAAGGAATAACTAGAGACAAGAAATAGACATAACTAGAAACACTGACAAGGACTGATCTAAAGTAAACAAGAAAAAGTAAACAAGAAACAAGACAGAGAGATTTAAAGAAATAGACTAAAGTACACGGAATAATCAAACCTCAAAAACAACTCAAAACAACCCAGCAAATCACATTCTATTTCTCTGCAGACCAACAACAGATTTCTGTCTAGGATTCCCCTACATTTATTTATTTCGCCCTGTTCCTACTGCAGAGAAGCATCTTCACATCTCAAATCTGCTCCCACCTCGTTTTATCCATGGACAGGCGTGGTGAGGGTGTTGTGAACGTATTAGTTTTCTTCCACACATTGCATTTTTCATGTAAACCAAAAAGGTTGAATTTTATGCTCGTCTGACATGTGAGCTGGTTGGCTTGTAATAGAAAGAGACTTTTTATGGCTTTCCTCTTGTTATTCTTCAATCAAGGCCAGATTTGTTGAACACACAACTACTGTAGTAGCTGTCATGTTAATTTCCTCCTAAACGGTGGGTCTCTACCTCTTTGCTTCTGTGATTAATAGAATATCAAAGGATAAGGATACTTTTGCAAGGATCACTTAATTCAATTTGCTACTTAGTGAAATAAAATGTCAATGCTGTAGGTAAATTTATGATAACTGTTAAATAAATTTAAATACTATCTTGAAAAAGTAAAGCAGTAAAGAATGAGCAGGTGATCACATCAGGCTGTTTCACTGAAAAAGTAATTTAGCATAAAAAAAAAAGAATAAATACAGGTTGAGCTCAACTTTATACCTGCCAGATGAATTTATATTATTCATCTGGCTGCCAACTTCTCATTTCCATAGGAGCACAAGAAGATTTATAATGATTAAAAACAATGTAACAATGCATTTTTATGTGAGACTATTTAATCCATGTGAAAATGAATCTATTTTTCAACTGTAATGTCTGCATGCCAAACTGAATATAAATACATTTGCTCAGTATAATGCAAATGACTCCATCTGTAATGCAATACAGCTCAAAGATAAGTTTCTACAAGAAAACAAGCAAATACCTGGAATTGAAATGGCTTTTTGTGATTATATAAGTGTAAAATGGGAGAAAATGAGAAATAAAGTGAGTGAAAGGAAACAGACTAGATGTCAGTGGTAGTTATCAATGGTTGAGTTCAGGAAAAGAAAGAAAAAGTTTTCAAAATGTAATCATAGAGATATAGTCTCTGTGGCTTCCCTGCTGCCTATCACACAAATATAGTACAGTGTCACTGCCCCTGAACATCCATATGGAAAATTCAACCCAGTTGATCCATAGAGACAGAGCTGGCATGAAGCCTCTGGGTGTAACGTGTAAGGTAGAACATCACTATACCCACAGGAGTGCCGAAGTAGATTTGTAAAATCTGCTACATCCGCCTGTTCCTGTAATACTACATGTAGACTCAGTTTTTTATGAGCTGCACACGTAATCATTGGCTTAGCCCAATTAAGAATCACATCCAGCATCTGCTCTGAGTTACCGGCACAGTGGTTTTATCGTCAAAAGTGGAGAACACGCTATCACTGAATGACACAAAGTGAAGGAAAGATAGAAAACTGTAACTGCTGAAATGTGCAGTCTACTTACAGGAGCTTAAAATGGGATAAAATAAGCAACATGAGCCCACACTTACATTAAAACTTGATAAAATTTCAGCTTTACATTGTACATTAATACTATCTGAAATTTGATAAACTTGTGACAAACCTAGATCTTTTTTTTTCACTTATGGTGACTTCTTTCTGTAGAGAAATGAATAGTCCCTGTATCACCCTCAGGACACAAAAGCAATACAGTGTATAGCACCAACATATTCAGTATGTAAAATATTAATAGCTATTAAACTTTTCTCATGTTGTGTCACATTTTAATGGACTTTTATGTTTTAGATTCACATGAAGTAGTGCATGCTTGTGAAATAGCTGAAAAATTACAGACGGTTTCAATCTTTTTTTTAATAAATGAAAAATATGTGCATATCTATTCATAAACCCCCAGAGTCCATATTTTGTAGAATTACCTTTATCTGCAGATATAGCAGTAAGTGTTTTGAGGTATCTCTCTGGCAGCTTGCATATGTAGAGACTCAAGATTATGCCCATTCGTCTTTGTAGTTTAGCTAAAGCTCAGTCGGATTAGATGGTGGGTGTCTGTGACAGCAGTTTTCCAGTTGCCAAGATTCCCAGTTGGATTTCGGTCTGTACTTTGGCTGGCCTATTTTAACAAGCGACTACTGTTATATTCAAAAAGTAGGAAGCAGGTATTGAACAACCTTTTCATTAAGCCCACATTTGTGTATTAAAAATGTTTTTTTATTGATCAATGTCAGATTTCTATTCTCTGTAAAAGGGAAATCATCACAATTAACAGAAATAAAGGCTACAAAACATCAGTCTGTGTGCAATTAATCTACATAACGCAATTTGTTTGGTGATGGAGTTAGTGAAATTACTAAACTTTTCAATAATAATCTAATTGCAGAATGTGCCTGCTGCATGCTTTTATTTATTCCACTCCACAGTAGCTCTGGCTGTGTGTTTAGGGTTGTTGTCTTGCTAAAAGTTAAACCTCAATTCCCGACTTAAAAATTCTGGAGCAACTAACAAATGTTCTTCAAATATCGCATTTCGCTCCATCCATCAACTCTGACCAGATTCCTGGTCTTTCCTGAAGAAAACTGTTCTCTTGTCATGATGATGAACAGTGCTCTGTGAGGTGTTCAAAGATTGGTATAATGTTTTTATAAACTAACCATGGCCTAAACTTCTCTACATCTTTATCTCTGATCTGTTAGTTGCGCTTACTGGTCTTTATGATGCTGTTTGCTTGATGATGTAACTCTGAGGCCTTCACTGTACTCCTGGATTTATTTAGAAATAAATACACAAAGGTGAATTCCACCTGAAGGCAACTGGTTGAATAAAGGTGAAAGAGGCAAATACATAAATGCACACTGCTGTTTTCAAAGATATCGTTTGTAAAAAAATGTTATTGTGCTATTGTGGCTAGTTTTTAAACATATTACTGTTATAATTCTTGGAGTCTCAATGCATATTGATTACAGTGTCAAAACTCTCCATCTGTGCCATAAAGGTGTTCTCTTCACATCAAACTATTTCCAGGTGTTATT